CTATGAATCTTCCATATTTATTTTTATTTCATATTTTTAATTGTCTTCTCCTCCTCTCACTTTTTTCTGAAGCCACAAATATTCAGTGCATACTGGTCTTAATTAAAGTAGACATGCTGGTTTTTTTGATCATGGGCAGCCTTCTGCCCTGCTTCTCTAATGTATTGTAAGCTTAATCACAGCAACAGTACTTTACTGATGCTACTGCTATATTAGGACCTGATCCCATAAGACGTTAAGCTCCACCCTGCTGAAGGGCCTACTGGAACAAATCCAGAGGTCCTTAAATATGGTTTTGACTTACTTTGGATGTATAGTGTTTTTGTATTGCCTGTCTGAATAAACACAACTCCTAAAATCAGGTTTCTACTGGAGTACTCAGATTTAGAATTTTTTCTATACCCGAGTGTTCTCCAACATTTGCTCGCTGTTCCCTGCCCGTGAACTCCTTTCTTAAAAATATGTCTGGAAAGGAACAAACATAATCCGCACAAAATTGTTTAAGAATTCAAGCATATAAATTTATGATTTTATTTCGTAGTCTTCTCTCAACTCTTGTAGTGATCTATGCCACCTTGCATAATTAACCCTTTGAAGCATGATATATAGCTTTATCACAACTTAGGCTAATTGAAAAAGTGAAGCCAAAAATCTAGGACAAAGTATCTCACAGTGATGCCATTACTTATAGTAAGGGATAATGAAAACTTGGAATCCATTATGTCTTTATATTTAATAAAGATGACATTTTGAATGTTGATTCTCAAGGATTTTCTTTTTGGGCATTAACTGAATGTTAGGAGTATTAGCATGTCCCTACCACGAAGAGCTTAAAAATGATCAGTTCAAGAAACTGTGCTTATTCAAGATAGTAGTTAAGTGTCATGGCGGGGTCCTTCAGGAGGGCCGTGATCTCCTTACGGCCCCCTCACCGTGCCAAGTCGGCCCAAGGGCACCCTCAAATTCTCGCCTGCCACGTCTTTGATGTTTGTATATAGTTGGGAGGCTGCCTTACGACTCCCTGGGCACGGTTAGCTGGGACTTCTGTCCCTGTGTGTTCCCGGACCCCCTGGGGGTCTCCCGGTATGACAGGTGCTCCCCAGGCACCCTAGCCTTATGGGCTACGCGTGGCTCCTACCAACCCCTAATACCACGCCCCAAGCCTTGCTGATGGGATAGACGTTGTCCGGTCAAAATACACACCCGCTTTCTCGGGTCCTCCTCTGTAATCTAGCCCGCTCTAGGGCCTTCCCCGTAGGTCTCTATACTAGCGCCCCTTCCTGGGCTCTCGCTGTGCCCACTCCGGGCTCTCTCTAATACAGTGCCCCTCACTGGGACTCTTAGTAACACTGCCCCTCTCTTTGGGACTCTTGAGGCCCACTCTGGTCTAGTCCACTTTGGGACGTCCGCTCGAGCCACCGGTCTTTTAGGCCCGCCGCACTGCTAACCTCTCATTTGCCGGGCGCACTGTGCCGCTATCCCTTTTCCTGGGGACCACCGCAGCACCGCCCTTCTCTGGGGCGCTGTGCTGCTAACTCCTTTGGTCTGGGTCCACCGCAGCACCCTGCCCCCACCCTGGGTTTTCTGCAGTGCTAGCCTGTTACCGGGCTCGCTATGCCCGTCCTGGGCTTCTCAATCTTGCCCCCTTGGGCCTCTCGAACATTGCCCCTTTTGGGCCTCGCAATGGTCCCCCTTCTCTGGGACTTGCTGTGCCCCCACTGGGCTCTTTAAATGCCCCTCTCTGGGCTGGGGTCTACACACCCCGCAAGTTGCGCCCTTACTGGCGTCAGGGTCCTCACACTCCTGTGAGCCCCCCCTATGAGTACTGCGCCCTCACTGGCGCTAGGGCCCCCACACCACTGTGGGTCCCTTTATGAGGATAATGCACCCTCTGGGCACTAGGGCCCCACCTCTCTGGGGTCCCTATGAGGCCTCCTCCAACCCCTTATAGCCTCACCCAAACCACCGGTGTAATACAAATACTAAAGCAAACACCAGCCTCCTGGCTATAACCAAAACACAAGGCACTGAGCCCTAACAACATAAGCCTCCTGGCTGTAATTTAACATCATTGCTCCAGCCTCTGGAGCTCTCACAAGCTATACTTGCTGTTAGGCTTCCCCTTGCATCCTAACTGCTCCTGCTCCTCTGACTGCAGGCAGAGAACTACTAGCCCGGCCTCAGCCCTGGGCTTTATAAGGGCCAGGCCCTACCTCCTACAGGCAGCTGGCTCTCCTTAGTTGCCCTGGCAACCTGCAGCTGTGCTCATTATCTCTGCTAAGGCTTTTCCCCAGCAGTTCTCCCCTCTCTAGGAGTGGGGCAGCGAGGTGTGCCGCGACATTAAGCATGTGCTTTTGAGTCCCATTGACTTCAACGGGACTATCGTCCTAAATAGGGACGGACTTTAGCATGTGTTAAAGCGCTTTCTGGAATTCACGAGGCAGCAACAAACAAATCAATAGGGCAAAGTGGTTCAGATACTTGGCTGGTTTCATTGTTTAAAGTATGTATATTTTATTATATTTTGGATACTTTGGGACGTGCCCACAGATCCTATTAGATACCTATCTCCCACCAAAATCAGTTAGAAGTTAGGCACCTAAAAATTTGTGGGGTTTTGTTTTTGAAAACCAAAAGTTCTCAATATAATGGGCCTACTCACCTTCAGAACAGAGCTCAAGGCTTTCAGAGGTATGCGGTGTTTTAGCTGGATAAAGAAATGCATCACAACTAACACAGATGGATGAAGCATTTGTTGTTGAACTATGTTGGCCCTTTGGTTTAATTTTGGAGAAGTGCCATATGAAAGTACATGAAACTGATATTGTCAAAATGCATCGTCTGTCTGCTGCATTTTTAATGATGTTCTTTCAGCTGCACCGATGGGGTGACAGTTGACTTGGTTCTTTTGAATATTTCTGGAAAGATACTCCAGGTGACCCAGGATGTGCTGCAGTCCATAGCCAATTTGAATGATCTGAGATAGACTAACGCATATTATCTGAGATATAGACTAACGAGTATACATTTTAAACGTTAGCTTCCTTGTAGCATTTGATTCTTCTTTTCATTTTTTACTCTATTTTGTTTAACTTCTTAGCAGATAATTGTCAGACTGACACCAGAGTCTTGTCTTTAACCTTCACTTTCATTCTGTGGGCATGCTGAATACTTTCACAATGTCCTGGTAACATGCCTATACTATGTTTCTATGGACTAGAACCAAGAAGATAACAGTATTTTCCATAGAAATCTTTAGAAAGAATAAACATTTGGGGATCTGTTAAAAAATCATGGAAGATAAACAAAAACATTATTTAGGTGAAAAATATGATTTTTCATCAAAATAATTCTTTGAGGGAATATGTGCAACCAACTATTGTGGAGACCATCTCCATGAAAGTATCCCTTTAGTCTCCATTCCCATTCAACTATTTACTTCTCTATCAAGATGCCAATAAAGGTAGTGGATAACTGATGTGGATACCTGTAAGCTAGAAACAGTAGCAAATTCACTTAACTTTCTCATAACTAATTACTTCCAGGCATTGCTGGCATGAGCTGTATTTGAACCAAGAATGTAGACATGAACAGCTTTTACCCTACAATCTGCTTTTGGGGCCTTTTAAATCTACAAGTCTCTAATCAGGCCTTCACACTATGGATGCGGTCTTACACTGTTCACTCATGAGAATAACTGCATGGGTTTGGGCTACTTGACCAGGACTTCAGCCTTATCCTTATGTAGAGTTGGCTGATGATTTAAATCCTCTTTCTCCCCATTATTTTAATCACTGATCAGGGTCTCTGCTGCAATTCTTATTTTCATATTTTCCTTTCCCCTGGGACTAACACCAGGTCCTTCTATATTCAACAAAGTTTAGCAACGCAATTTTCCTCTGCTTTCTTGTGTCCACATCCTATCCTATTTCTCAAACCATTTATTCATTTTAGCAATATATTTCAGTGATGTTTAATACTCTTTTATATTTTTGGTTAACACTGATATTCTGAGCTAGTAGATCTGTTGCTTCAACTTTTATTCTGCATTACCTTCATAATTCCCTCCATTTGTCTCTTGTGTTGCTTTTTCTTTTCCTCAGCTCATTATTTACTTGAAGGATTAGCGCCATATTGCGAAATCCTTTTCTCAAGCAAAGCCAACATTCAAATGAATGGGTGTTTTCCCTGAGTGTAAAATACACAATTTATCTGCATATTAATGAATAGTTGTGTTCCTGTTTTCCCTATTAGAAGTTGTTAGCTGAAAAAGGACCAAATAAGGTTAAGAGGTTTAATTATTATTATACTTTCATATGAGGAATGCATATTTATGCAGAGCTAGAGATAACAAGAATGCTACTTACACTTTAATTTGACTATTGGTTTACCTGTGCTCTCCTGCTGCCAACATGTATTAAGTTTCAAAGTTCTAATGTTGACTACCTACCTATTTAAATATTCACCAGCGGAGCACTGCCAAGGTAGATTAATTAATTCACGGCATCGTGTCCCAGTCAAGTTGTCAAATTCTCAGAATTATTTGAATTGCCAGTGTCCTTTATCGTGATGACCTACAGCTGAGCAACAGTTCTTATGGTTTCTGCCTTCACAGGACTATTCACCAGTCAATTTTAGACAAGATGAAAGGTGCAAGGTTGACAGGGCTGAAGAATAAAGTCCTCTGTAACCAAAAAAATCAGATGGGGCATATCAGGGGTAGCAGAAGTATCAAATGCCTATGCTATGACACTAGACAGCCTGAACTGAGATCTGGGGAGTCTGCCTCTAAAGCTGAAAAAGAAAATTCAGCTCTTCATTTTCATTCTATGTCTAGGTCTCTGTTAAGACTCTGAATAAAAAAGATGTCAACTAAAGCTTAATATAGTGAAGGGCTTCTGAACATGGACATGTGTTCAAAGAGATCAGACCCAAGCTCGTTTTATATGCCTGTGGCCACTAGACCTTTGTTGGTAACACTTTTGATCAAGAACAGACTTGACAGAGATTTGAACAATTGACCTAGGGACTCCATGACCCCTGGTTAATGCCTGCATTATTTTAATATGCAACGGTGGCAATCAAAAATATAACTAAAACCTATTGTTCAGTAGGCCCATTATCCTGGTTTTCTGCTTTTTAACCACATATTAATATCTTCCAAAAAACCCCCCAAAGCAGATTTTCAACAGATTTCCTGTGGTGCAACATGGCTTTAATCCAACTTCTAGAACATCTTTTTGAGCTACTTAAATCAGAAACAATCAAGACATAATACTGCAACAGATTAATTTTTCATGACAGAAATACAGCTGCATCCATCAAAGGAAGCTCTTTTGATAGCAGAGGTACTTAGATATGCCAAGGGAGTACTAATAAGCACAAATTAAATAAAAGTGGATTGCAAAAGTAAACACTGCTCAAGTCCATTGAGAGCAATATACACTTACACAATATGCACAGTTTCTTGATGGTTGTTTAATAGTTATTCAGGCTGGTTTTATTCAAATCAGTTGAAATCAGGAAAAAAAATCTCTAAAAGTCAATGGAATTTCATCAATGGATGGTCAAAATCAAGTCTTTTAACTTTGTTTATGTGTAGCAGACTTCATATATTGTTATTAACATAAAACTCTTCATTTTATTGGAGATGGGCTTAATCCCCAACACTATATCCTGACACACCTGAAAACTAGAGGAAGTTCAGCTTCAAGTCTAACTTTTAAACTCTCCTCCCATATGTACACAAGGGCAAACCAATTTGGAATAGCAGACTATGGGGGCAGTTTGGTTCCAACTCCTTTAACATGATACCAATCTTGGAAAGTAAAACTAAAGCACAATTAAAACAAAGGGAAGCGGGTGATCAATTCCAAATCTCTAGACTTTCAACAATCAATATTGGCAGCTACATTAAAAAAAAAAAGTAGACTCAAATAAAACAAACGGGCATAAGTAAAATTATGCCAGCACTTATTTGGCTACAAATAAGGTAAGTAGATGTCATATCCCATTTTCTCAAAGAAGGCTGCATAAGGTCATTGATTTTAATGTATTCTGCAATTCCTTTGGGCATGCATGTATTAGTAGATCCGTCATTAAATGTCAGGAATGTAATTCTACACTTGAGAAAGCTTCTCCAAGAATACATGACTCTGGACATGTTACAAATTAGTACATGGATAAACTGTACCTTTTGAGATCAGTTTGCTGATGCTGGAGGTCTGTATTTTCATATCTGGCCAAGAGCTACTAAAAGGACGCTGTTAAGAATGACATACAGTACTACAACAAAAAGAAACCAGCAATTACAGTTAACCATAGTTACTAGGCTGGTTGTTGAAAATTGCTGTATCCTTAAAAGACGGTTGATCATACCACTTGAATCCTGAGAGAGATGCTGCTACCTGCTACCAGTCAGCCTCTGGGCCCCAAAGAGACTTCTAAATGGGTTCAGTGTTTCCAGATGGATGATCCACACGGTTTGTGAGCTGGTTCAGCCAATACTTTCTTCCACGGGGAGAGAACAATCCCCCTATCCCTTAACAGAAAAATTTAGAGGAAAGTGTCTGCGAATATTGTGTGATATCCTGCCATTCTAATAGGTATTTCCAGAGCGAGACCGTCAAACCTTGTTTTCCTTTTTTGCTTCCATCTTTCCATTTCACACAGCACAGACAATAAAACCAGCCCTGACTAGTTTTGACACTGTTTATCAAACATGCTATTGTGTCTGTAAGGGAAAATGTAGATCTGTATCATGATATCACTGATACGATCAGTTCACCCAGACAAACTGTAAGAGATATCACAGAGTGCATCTCTGGGATGTTTCTAGCATACCAAAGGAGTTTTCAGAACGGGAGAAAATATATTAAAAAAACCCAACTTATTTTATGCCGAGTTCTTCAGCAGCCCAGCTAATGACCCTTATTTCTTCATTTAATGCTATTTCCAGTTTAGTTCTGCAGGTTTTTTTTTAAAGACACTCTTCAGGACATATTAGAAGCCCCCTGTGTTGATTTTTCAAGCAGTTATTTCTTTATGACCAATGTGACTTTTCAGTTTTACATTCTGTGCATCACAGTCCAAAGAATTTCATCTGGAAATGCTTCCATCAAGCCCCCATCTTGTGAAGGAGCTAGAGCTTCAGAAAGACTTTCAATCTTGACTTAAAAATTATAAAGAATCCATTCATCCTTTGTTAAAGTATTTCAGTGGTTCATTACCCTCACTGTTAAAAATAATTTTCTAATCTGTAGCTTGAATTTGTCTAGATTCAGCCCCCAGTCATAGGATCTTGTAACGCCTTTGTTTGCCAGTTTAAAGAGCCCTATATCATCAGAAACCTTCTTCCCTTATAGGCACTTGCAAACCATGATCAAGCCTCCTCTGAACCTTCTTTTAAATCATCTAAATGGATTGAACTTCCTAAGATTTTCACTGCAAGGCTCTTTTCCAGTCCTCACATTCTTTTTATGGCCTTCATATGTTAAATAATTGTGCTTCTTGCAAAATGGCAGTGCATAATGGAAAGCTGTCTGGCACAGGTACACATGAGAGATCAAATCATGGAAAACATGCTGAAGGCAGAACAAGTTTGCTGGCTGTAAATCACTTGATTCATTGGAATACTACTTCAACATGGCCGATCTAAAGAGGCATACGTTCATCAGTGTGATGAACCACGTGATGCAAGTACTCTCCTATTTACATATATTGCTGAATGAGTGGTGGTACGAAGGTGCACTGCCTGTAAGGGAAAGCACCAAAACACTGGAGGCCTTGAAGCACTCTGTCTAGCCTTCTGCCCTGCTCTGCCATCTGTCTGGATGATAGAGACTACTGCCCATGTTACAGCAGTCCTGGTGACAGGACCCTGGTTCCAGCTTCTCCTCCCATCCTCTCTTTGTACAGTTTTTTTGAGACGTGGAAGGGACGTAAAATAGCAGGACCTCTCTGAACTACTGTTGTTATATGAACTCGTGTGTATACTTGTTCAAGCTATATAAGGAAAGGAGAAAAGTTGTGTGTGCGCTCTCTTAACCTCCAGGATATCTGTTAATAGCAAACCCAACATGGCTCTGTGTTTTGACAGCAGCGTAAAGAAACAAAACTACATTAAAAGGAAAAAAAAAAACACCCTGGTAATTGCCATTATGGTAACATGCTCAGCTCCCTGGTGTTTGCACAACTGAATTATAAGCAGGAAGATTGATACCTTTGAAAACATTAGGCTACCTTCTGAAGCAAAGATTATCATTCATCCCATGCTTAAGTATTCAGTAAACAAACAATAGCATTTTGCACTTCATTTGTCATCCTGCAAGGTATTTCAACTGATGTGTTATATTTATGCACAGCTTATCGGCCCATCTTACACAGCGCTGTCACGCAATTTGCTGGTTTTTTGCATTAGCAATAATTATAAGTACAAATACACTACTGAGTAAATTACATAGTCACTTGCCATTTCCCACAAGAATCGCATTAGTGCTAATTGTTCAAGTTCTTCTACAGATTTGCACCTGCTTTATTAAATCTGGTAAGAATATATAATGAGAAGAGTGCTGAATAGTTCAACAAGATTGGTTAGTGGGTTTGCTAAACGTAAATACTACTGTCCTCATTTTCCAATTAACATTTTGCTACCCCTTTTTTAATGGAAAAAACTAGTTTTTCTTTGTTTGGTTTGTCTTCTTTTTCTTTCCCTCCCTCCTCCCCCACCTTTTTTTCCCTTCTCTCAAGTGGTAAAATGAGAACATAAAAGCAGGTGAAAAGGGAAAAATGTGCTGAAGGCAGGCAAAGGAGAGGATGAAAACTGAGAAAACAATTTTTTTTTAAGTCATAAAAAAACTGTATACATGAAAAATAGTTATATTTCAACCCATGGAATGAAAGAGACTGTAAAATTGTCAAAGATATTCATCAAAGATATTTTTCATTTTTTGACCAACTCTGACCATAAATGATGGAAGTGGTCACAACCAGGACCCTTCAGAAAGATCTAACTCAGTTGCGTGAATAGGCAAAGTGATAGCAGATATAATTCAACTGGCTAAATACAAAGTAATGCATATGGCAGGAAAAACTTTGACTTCCCCTACATCCTACTGGGATCTAAACTTACATT